AGCACAGAAAGTCAACACAAGAACAATCGCTGAATCTAATGGAAATTTGAAGAGAAACTAAACTAGGAAGAAAAAAAAAAAGTAAACTACTACGAAGATAAACCACCAGAATCTATGGCGTGAGCCTGATGGCTTTGATACCATATTAACTACATTGCAAAAGATAAAGATTGGTACAGAGGAAGAGAAAGAATTGATAGAGAGCAACAAAAGAGATTGTATTGATTGATTAGAGAAAATGTATACAAATGAACTTAAGGAAATGATTGCTATACAATCCCTTATATAGCCATATTTCCCAATTACAATAATACCATTCTAACTATATTTATGTTATATCAGTTTTAATAGTGACAAACTTTACAACTTTAATGAAGGGGTCAGCTTTGAAATCAAACACTATAATTCATAAACCTTAAATTTATATTTAACCGTCTAGCGGATGTAAGAAGATGAACGGTTTAGATCTTTGATATCATATTTCGATATTTACGGTTAACTGAAATATGAGTCGATGTCATATAGTTTGTAAAAACTTTATAAACATCAAGCAATATTTTTTTTACTAACCGTAAAACTCTGAATATAATATCAACGATCCAGGTCTACCACCAACAAAAACGACATGAATACGGAAAACACAACACGAATGTCAAGTCTACCACCAACAATCAGTTCTCTCTCTCTCTCTCTCTCTCTCATTTCCGACCTTTTTCTTTGAACAAAGAACCAAGCTTCACCTACATCCCTCACCCTCTTAGATGCCCTCAATCGACGACTCTCTCCCTCTCTCGAAATCGACTCTCTAGTCTCTACCCACTTAGATGTCAATCCCGCTCTCCTCTGTTGTGTCCACGACTTAGATGAGATTGGAACTTCCACGGAGCGGGTACGTTAGTTTCCAACGGCGAAAACAAAGGTGAGGTTCTTCCCTCAAGCATTTTATGATAATCTGGGTTGGTTTTGTTTGTGGGTAAAATTTATGATAATATGTTTAGGTTGTGTTATTGTTATTACTTGGTTTTAATCTTAGATCTGTACTCACAGTTGAGAAAATTGGATTTTTAATTGTATTTTTGGAGTTGTAAAATTCATAAATTTGATCTGAACTCCAGATTTCTGTGGGTAATAATTTCCAAGGTACGACAACGGAGCTTGTATATGTATATTGGTAGCAGAAAAAGAAAAAGTGGCAGTGGAGCTTGTCCAAAGAAATATGGGAGCTAATGAAAAAGGGTCGACACTCCAATAATGCCATGACGACGACCCCTGGATTAGGGTCGATGGAGGTGCAGCAATCTGAATCTGCTGCACACGTACTATTGTTGCCGTTCCCAGCACAAGGCCACATCGCTTCGATGCTAAGCTTTGCGCAGCTGCTATGCCACGCTTGCATCCACGTCACCTTACTCAGTACGGAGCACAACCACTGTCTCCTCACCCAACGCCGTGCCCTCTCCGCCCACTTCCCAACCCTCCACTTCGAGTCCATACCCGATGGCCTCCCACTTACACCCCCCCCCCCCCCCGCACCATTCCCCCCTTAGACGACATCGTCCCGTCGCTCAGGTCCGTAACCAAGCCATGCGTGACCTTCTTATGACCTTAACCGAAAAGGACAATGAGTCGTATGGTGCCACCACCAGTCGCCGTCCTCCTTCGAGTTGTGTCATAATAGATGGGATGATGTGTTTCGCGATTGACGTCGCAGAGAAGGTGGGAATTCCCGTACTTGCCCTCCCATGTTGGAGCAATATTAGAAAATATAAAAAATATAAAAGAATTCTAATAATAATAATTATAAAGAAATTCACAACATCAATAATATATATGAAATTAATATAAACAACTAGAGATAAAATTAGAAAAAACTAACAAACTTGGAGATTGAGGCTTGCATAAATGCAATGTTCTAAAGATAGAATTTCGCCTCTACTCTTGTGCTTGTAATTCGATAGGCGTTCATCTCCCAGGATTCAACAATCTATAATCCAAAGTTAAAGCACTTCAATCTTCGGACTCTGGCCAACTTTATATATTACATACTCTCAAGACACGACTCAGAATTTGACACACGAAGCATGAAAGAATGGGGAAACCCTATTTCTCAAGAGTAAAAATTAACTCTAATTTTCTATCCTTAATGATAATGGTTTCGTGGGTTTATATAGAACCCAAATACTTCTTGTTAAAGATATGTAACTTTTCATCTATTTATGTATATATCATTTGACAAGGGAATGCACCTAAATAACATAACTTTTCTAAGAAATATGGTTAACATTATTTTTCATTCAATTATTAAAATTATATATTACAATATTTTATACTATAATATATAATTTCCAACAATCCCCCACATGAATCAAAAATCAGGAAGAATTTGAGAGTACAGGCGAACAAGAGATGCATCGGGAGAGGTGTCTTTTGGACTTGAACCTACCCTAGTGAATACTTATCGGGTTTACTTGGTGACGCAGTGGATGTAGAAGATCTTGAATTGTTCACCGTAGCAGTAAACCGAGACTGTGTGATATGAAACGCCACTACGGTGAACAATTCAGGATATGAAACGCCATATTTGAAACAGAACTCTTCACTTTCTTTTCGTGGGTGTTGAGTTGAACAAGGATTAATGAAGACAAAAATGATTCTATGAGTTAAGGATTAATTGAAGACAAGGTTGTGGGTGTGGGTCGGAGCTCCAGTGACTGTGCGGTTATGGAGAAAGCTTTGGTGGCACTTGATAAAGGCACCATCTGCTCATCGTGGAACTACTCCGGCCAAAGATTAGCCAGTGGTTCCGCTGACGAAACCTTGCCATCTTTGACTCACGCGACTCTTGTTCTTCGTCCTTCTCCTGCACCTCAAAATCCAAGGTGCACGTACGAGGTTGTTGGAATTGTGAAAATTGCTTGGGTTCCATCGAAATTCAGTGCGGCAGTGGCGTGTGTCTGTGCAGATGGAACTTTATCATTGAGGGAGTTGCTGAAGATGCACAACCTCTTCAATGGAAAAGAATTTTATTTCACAGTGAACAGCCACGTAAAAGAAGGTGAAGAATCCTATTTGGGTTTGCTCACCTCGTTAACAGTTTCATCTTCCACGTAGTCATTTTAACACACCGAATTCCATGAAACTATCAATCAGTTAAATCTAACTGTGTTGGACCATCAAGTGTGCTATATGGGTAATGTTATCTTGAATTTTTTCAACAAAAAAAAATTATTGTCATGAATTTCTTTTGTTCTTTTTAATGGTGGGTCGTTAGGGGTTAAGGTTCTCCAAATTTTCAAATTGTTGTGTGTGGTAGGGAAGGTCCAGAGTTGCCTATGCCTAATGTTGGATTATTTATTTATTTATTCTATTCTTGTTGAGTGTAAAAAGAGAATTATTTGGCACATTCGAAATTTCAAGATAAAAAAATGATAAGTTGGGTGTAAAAAGAGAATAAATGGGTCTAAATATAATTTTCCTTGTTAGAATTCTAATTGGACTAAACTAATTAGGATAAAGGAGAAATATTGTATTAAAAATACAAACTAATTTATGGTTGTAAAACGTGTGAAACAACATCCTGAAATTAAGGAAAATACATTGATCGTGCTTTAAAGCCAACACTACTCCATGAACGTGAGGAACTAGAGGCAATAGTTATCAAAGCAACCCACCGCGATAGATGAGAGTTGGTTGTTGTTGCTTCTATTTAAAGGAATTTGCTAAAAATTTGAAATAAAGTACCAGGGTCTATCACTATAAGAACATAACGGTCTTTAGTGAATAAAAATGCCTCTATGTGTCTTTCCGGCCACCGAAAGGGAAGGATAATTGTGGCTTGCCACCAGTTGTCCCCTTTTTAAAAAAGAAAGAAAACTACTGCAGTGGCTGCTCGAGGTAAGTCTTCGTTCATGTACTCTAGTTGTGATCTTGGGATTGTGCTAACAATAATTAATTAGGGTTTATTTTTACACCCTTATCACACAAGTGATGCCAGAGCATAATTATACAGCAATAAAAATAAAGTAGAGATATTTCTAGTGAAAGGAGGAATCCTCCCACAAGTGACAAACTCTCATAGGAGACCATTAGGATTGAAAGAGACATATATGAGCAAAATGTGACACGGTGCAAAGAAAAATGCCCTTATTTTCATAAAGAGGGTTCTCTCTCTCAAAATTTTATCATCAATATGAGTTGGACAATTTTTACAAAATCAAAAGAATTGATCAGAAAAGTTCCTAATCCTCCTACAAAAATGAGAATATTTTTGCGTAGCACCTTCAAGTGGTAGTGATGCCTATTTAACATTGATATATGAGTTTGAATTTGAGATTTGTACATTGGATAAACATAAATCTCAAAATTTAAACTATCTAATGATGATGATTAAAATATGAGCATTACCACCACCTAAAGGTGATGAACAAAAATACACCCGGCAAAAATATTGGGGAGAGTTATTATAGGTGTTACAAAGTAATGATATTAGGACATGTGGTAAGTAGCATGTCAATAGCCAATTAAGATTTGATTATTAATAATTTCATTAACTCTAAGTGTTGTTGAACTCATGTTTTTCATATTGATATGTACAACGTGATACAACTCCTTTTAAACGGAGCCGAATCTCCTCTGGATTCAAAAAATCTGAGTCTGAGGATCAAATGATTCGGACCGTTGAAATTTGTTCAAACGACTACAATTATTATAACCTTTAGAGGGACTCCCTGTTTGTAGTAGTTGAATCCAATTTCAACGATCCGGATCATTTGATCCTTAAGCTTAGATTTTTTGGATCTAGTTCCCTTTTTTGTTTGTCTATTTTGGTAACACTAGAGGCGGGAAAAGCTAGATTGAGACTGTCAAAGTTTGATCTTTGACTCCTATTAATTGCCATCATTCCCAATAACCCGGCCGCAGCCCACCCCCACCACCCAGTGGCCAGAAATTTGAACCACTTTGGTATGGGCTTCTTTTAATCCATGAAGCAATCATACATCGATCGAACACACGTTTCAATACATAGATCAAGCCATGAGCTTTCCTAGATATAAAAACTCGAGCAACATGACGTCACATCACAATTTTTTCATTTAAGTCTTCAATAAGTTTTTCCAGGTTCTTATACGAAGAGCCATCTTCGCTAACAGCATGGCGAGCCAACTTTGCAAAATTATCCACTGACTTGAAAATCTGCTCTCTTTGATCGCCTTCTTCCATCAATGCTCTTACCATCTTCTCCACCGTAGACCTATCACACGTGTCTTTCATATCGAGCCCGATCTTCCAGCCTTCACCAACCCATCTACTATTCACCTGTTGGTCTGCTAATTGTGGCCAACAAAGCATCGGAACTCCCGCCCAAATGCCCTCAATGGTCGAGTTCCAGCCGCTGTGAGTCCAAAACCCTCCGACAGCTTTGTGGGCCAGTACCTCTTCTTGTGGAACCCACTCCGCTATATACCCCCTTTCTTTAGTACCATCCTCCAACTCCACCGGAGTTGCACGCTCCTCTTGCCCACTCGAAAGCATATCCGACCGAACTACCCACAAAAAAGGCTTGCCACTGTTGATTAAACCGTGCCAAAACTCCAGTAACTGGACGCGGCTCAGCTTTGCCAAACTCCCAAAGCTGACGAAAATAACGGACCCCGACTGTTGGGAGTCGAGCCACGCCATGCAACGTCGGTCTTCGTGGCGCAAGGAGGAAACGGAGGATGATAGATCGTCTCCCACACGAGATTTGAGAAGGGCATGGAAAGGGCCTAAGGTGTAAATTTTGGGAAAGCGAGTGGCGATCTGGGAGAGTATTAAGGGTTCTAGGTCGTCGAAGGTGTTGAGTATGATCGCAGAGACTCGAGTAATGGCCTCAATTTGCTCCATGAAAAATTTAAAACTTGGATGGTCAATTGGCATTCTGCAAAAACTCGGTAGATCCCGTAGTCGCAGAAGAGCTTCCATCCCTGGAATGTCCCTAATCGGGTGATCCATGTCCTGATCTGTTTCAACACGAGAAGCATATATATAGTGTTCAGCTCAAAAAACACTGAAGCAGTATACTAGCAAGGATACAAAATACACCTGAACTAGTAAAAACCAGTTTCACATGTCACATAGGAATTGTTTTTAACATTTTAAATTATCGTTATCAACTCGCTTTTTTTTCACTAACAAGAGCATTTGTAACTTTTTCAGAGATTTGTGTTTTTTTTTAAAATGCTTTCACTGGGATAATTTTGTCGGGAAAATGATCTTAGCATTTAGTATAAGAAAGAAAAGCTAGTATATGACATTATTGTCAACTAAGGTCAATTTGATAACTATTTCATTTTTTTTTTCATTTTTATTTTTATTTTTTAGATTGAAAACGTGTAAGAGATGTTACCTAGCTAAGTTTTGAAATCTTTCTCACCCACAATTTGTATTAATTAAAAGGAAATATCTCTTATATAAAACAAACAAAAATAACAAAAAATGTACAAGAATTAAAAAGAAGAGTGACAGATATCACCATAAGGATTTTATCAAAATACAGATAAAATCAGAATTCTGGGAAATTAAAGTTTTATAAGAAAAGAAAAGAAGAGTGACAGTGATCACCTTGGAAGGGAAGCTGGCCTTGTTGAATGAGGTCGGGAATGCATGAATAACACCAGAAGCTGCAAGCGCTCACCGTGCGGAGGGCAAATACGGGAATTCCCACCTCCTCCGCCATGTCAATCGCGAAACACATGATCCCATCTATTATGACACAACTCAAGGGAGGACGGGGAGTGGTGGTGGCGCCACACGACTCGTTGTCCTTTTTGGTTAAGGTTATAAGAAGGTCACGCAGGAGTGGCTTGGTTACGGACCTGAGCGACGAGACGATGTCGTCTAGGGGGGGAATGGTGCGGGGGTGGTCCGGTGGGAGGCCATCGGGTATGGACTCGAAGTGGAGGGTTGGGAAGCGGGCGGAGAGGGCACGGCGTTGGGTGAGGAGACGATGGTTGTGCTCCGTACTGAGGAAGGTAACGTGGATGCCAGCGTGGCATAGCAGCTGCGCAAAGCTCAGCATCGGAGTGATGTGGCCTTGTGCTGGGAACGGCAACAATAGTACGTGTGCAGCAGATTCAGATTCCTCCATCTCCGCCGACATCCACTGTGCGGCTGTGTCTATTAATATATGTGAGGTTGGAATGAAGCTCAACTTAAAACCCTAATCCAGTGTTCATCACTTCTCAACTGTAAGTAAAGACAGGGTCGGCCCAGGCCCAGTGCAGGCAGGGGACCGTCCAGGGCCCAGAAAAATTAGGAGCATCAAAATTATTAGGGTGGTATATTTATATATGTTATTATAAGAGTATAAATGTATAAAATTTGGTTCAAAGAAATAGAAATTTAACTAGAAGTGGTGGTCTGTCATTTGAAAATAATGAGGAGGTCTTGGGTTCAAAACACCATATGTGCTTATTTACTTTTCATTTTTTACAAATTTCATTTCATAAGAGTATAAATTTATAAAATTTGGTAAAAGGATCAAGAAGTCTAATTAGAAACAATGATTTTTGTTGTTTAAAATTAATAAGAGGTTCTAAGTTCGAAATGCTATGTGCATGTTTATTCTTTTCAATTTTTACAAATTTTTGTTTGGTTGTTAATTTATTTTTAGTTACTATCTAGTAGATATGTGGGTTGTTATATTTAAATATTTGTTTTAATTCAAATCTAATCTTCAACAAAGAATAATACGTAGACCAAATTTGCAAATTATATGACATGTCATCAAAATGTTTAATTTAGTGCCCATTCATTAATAATAAATATCAATTAAAGACTCGAAAATATCATTATTTTTTAGTCCCATATTGACAATGTTAGTAAATAAGAAAAAAAAACACCTCACAATTTATTCAAAAACACATTCAAAGTTCAGATGGAAAACAAAACTCATCATCTATCTACTTGTAAGCCCGAAGTTTTTTTGTTTCCCTCTCTCAATACAAAATAAATTAGTCTTTATGTGTTTCTAAATTATTGAGTTTGAAGTGTTTTTCTAAGTAAATTTTATCAATGTCTTACGTGTGAAAATAAATAATTTTCTTACATGAAGTTAGGGCACTTTTTTACTTCGCCCGGGCCTCAAAAATCTCTGGACCGGCCCTGAATAAAGAAAGGATAAATAATGAGTGGCAATCATAGCCTTAACGAGTATCGGCGGCCTTTCTCATATTAGGGACGAATGACAGTGTCCACTAATTAAAGGAGTCATCTATTGAGATACTTTGGCATGGATAAACGCAGTCAGTCCCACAAACACAAACATATAGGGGCCGCTTGTTTGCCTTCTTTAGCTCTCACTAGATTGGATAGGATTAAAGATTAATGCAATCCATGTTTGTTCGCTCGCCGGTCTTAGCATGTCCCCCTCCCCCCCCCCAAAAAAAAACTATGGGACTAGCTAAGACGCCTCTCTCTGCTCTTGCGTCTTGTCTTCGCTCTCGCATGCTCTCTCAACTGCTCTCGTTTGAGTCCCTTCCGTCTCTCATCGCCCCAAACCCAGATCATGTCCTCTCTCTCTCTCATCACCCTGCTCGATGCCGATGCTGATCTACACGACCCAACCTCGAGGAGGTGAGATTTTTTACTAGTCGGTCTTGGTTCGCGACCCAGACTCAAGTCAGGACCGGAATCATAGTGTCGTTGTTGGGTATACAAGGAACGCAGCTGGGATTTCGATTTCGATTGAAATTGAAATTTTGATTGTTTGTGTTTTGGGAGCTTTATCGATTCAAATGGAGGAGAAAGATGTAGTTGCAAGTAGTGGAATTTGGACGGAGAGCTTTATCAATTGTAATGAAGGAAAAGCTGTGAATTTTTATTTTTTTGGTCAAAAGGTAAGGAAAAGTTATGATTGGAATCTATGGAGTTTGGAAGGAAAAAAGGAGAGGGAAGAGAGGTTTCAGGAGTGCTCTAGAACCGGAAAAAAAATAGAAAAAGAAAAAAAAAAGAACTAATTTTATTATTTTTATTATCCTGCTTATTAGTCCGAGACTACACCAAATACTTCACTAAGCTAGTCCAGCTTAGTCTAGTCTAAGCCAGTCCAGCTTAGTCCTTGAAGCTAGTCTAGTCCAAGACAATCTAGTACAACATGTGCTCTGATTGTATGATTGGCATGAGGTGATGATGTGAGGGCTAGTAGTGGACCATTAACCCATTGTCATGGGGTTTGTTGATTCGCCATGTATTTCACATCTCGTTTCCTTATTTCATTTCTTGTTTCGTTGAGTTTTTGTATTTTGAGTACTTGTTTCATGTCTTGTTCTTCGAGCGTTGTTATATTCCTTGGACTTCCGCTCAATTTCGTTGAGTGATCCGGAACTGGGTATCCGCTAAGGTTCTGTTGAGTGGTCCAGTTCCCTGCTCCCGTCTGGATTCCATTGAGTGGTCTGGAATCCCTCATGATCTGCGATTCTATTAAGTGGTCCGGAATCGTATCCAGCTTAGATTTCATTGAGTGGTTTGATATGCATTGTACTCCACGATTCCGTTGAGTGGTCCGAAATCGTATCCATTCGGATTCCGTTGAGAGGTCCGGAATCCTTTCTACTTTGCAATTCCATTAGGTGGTTCATAATCATATCCTGGTTTGGATTCTGTTGAATGGTCCGAAATCCCCTTTGGTGTCTTGGTTCCTTTGAGTGGTCCGGAACCCGATGTTGATGGATTTTGTTGCGTGGTCCGAAATCGCATTATTTGACTCATTGGTTCCTTGGATTTGATTTATTTGAGACAACTTCTGAGGTGCAGGCTTCGGCCGAACTGTGTCGCTCTATCCCTGCATTTTGATGTATTGTACATGTTATCGTTTGGTGAGATTATTGGATGATGTTGGTTGTGATTGCTGGCATTACGATTAAACTTGTTGATCAATATGGCTAGAGAATATAATTGTGCTTTATCGTTTGTTCTTTGAAATATTTCTGTAGACATCGAAATTTCGGTAAAACAATGTTGACCGATAACTCAAAGTTTCAACGCTCATGTATTACATAAATTTTACACGTAGCGTGTGTCTAAACAAAAAAATCAAAATAAGTTAGAAAAGTCATCAAACAGGACACGTGTCAACACCTGGCAGAAACGACTTATTTCATCTGGAATATTATATTCAAAATTAGGCCTTGGAAATTTCTATAAATAGAAGGGTAATTCATTCATTTGAAAAAAAAAAAGGGACCAAAATCATTAGGCAAAATTCTTGAAGTTCTGAAGCTCTGAAACTTCAAAGCTCTCAAGCATCCAGGTTCCCGAAAAATCAAGAAAGCCTTCTTCGTTCTTCGTTCATCGTTCTTCCAAGATCAAGCCCCGACGGCCCTTGGATCAACAATCATCCACCTTAAAGATCAAACCCCGACGGCCCTTGAAGAAAGCGTTCTTCGTTCATCGTTCTTCCAAGATCAAGCCCCCACGACCCTTGGATCAACCATCATCCACCTCCAAGATCAAGCCCCGACGGCCCTTGAAGAAAGTGTTCTTCGTTCTTCGTTCATCGTTCTTCCAAGATCAAGCCCCAACGGCCCTTTGAATCAACAATCATCCACCAATTCAAGATCAAGCCCCGACGGCCTTTGAAGAACTTCCACCAATTCAAGATCAAGCCCCGACGGCCCTTGAAGAAAGCATCATCGTTCATCATCCGTTCATCCAAGATCAAGCCCCAACGTCGACAAATCCACACATCCAACCGTTCTTCAAGATTGAGCCAGTTGTTCTTCGATGGAGGTAACGCCGATGGTCATGACTTGTGCAACCAATAGACGTGACTTTCCTTTAGACATCCAAGATGCTGACGAAGAACGTCGTTGGCTGTTTTGGATGTCATCTTGTGTGCCTTAGCAGCATGCTCTGGTGCCCACAGCGAGGTCAGGTTGATGACAGACTCACACCTTTGATGCTCCCCTTGCTCTTTTAGCGGCACCAACTTTAAAGTGGCATGTTGAGGAGCGATTGTGGCGCCAATGGATTGTCCGTTTGCGGCAAAAATGCTTAGGATCCTTCCCTCAGTGGTTGCGAGAACGGCTTGTCCCTTGCTTGATGTCATTGACTTTGAGGTGTGTTTGGAGTCCTTGAACGGAGAAAGAGATGAGAGGTAGAGATTGTCCCACCGGGCGTGCCAAATTTGTAAACACGAAATTTTCCTGAAACGAAAGAGACAAGAACAACGTGCACAAACAAATATTGCGATCGCAAGGCTAACACGGATTGTTGAAGAAAAAGACTTGCAAATCGCTGCACTCGTCAGCCGACTGGAGCCACAGGACGACGAGAACCCCGACCCAGAGAATGATCCACTAAAGAGAAGAGATGACGAAGAAGATGAGCCTCAGGTGGAGAAAATCAATATGAAGCCGGAGCCAAACCAAGCAGCGGCACTCATGGGATCTCTTTCTATCCAGCAGCTGCATGAGATGATCACCAACACCATCAAGGCACAGTACGAAGGGAGCTCACATACCTCCTTGTTCTACTTGAAGCCCTACTCCAAGAAGATTGATGCCCTGAAGATGCCAAGGGGTTATCAACCACCAAAGTTCATGCAGTTTGATGGAAAAGGAAACCCGAAACAACACGTCGCCCACTTTGTTGAAACTTGCAACAACGCAGGGACCGAAGGGGACTACCTCGTCAAGCAGTTTGTGCACTCGCTGAAAGGAAACGCCTTTGAGTGGTACACGAACCTAAAGCCTGAGTCCATCAACAGCTGGGAGCAATTGGAGCGGGAATTCCTCAACCGCTTCTACAGCATTCGCCGCACTGTGAGCATGCTAGAGCTAACGAGCACAAAGCAATGGAAAGATGAGTCAGTCATTGACTACATAAACAGATGGCGCACTCTAAGCCTCGACTGTAAAGACGGGCTCTCGGAAACCTCTTCAATCGAGATGTGCATCCAAGGCATGCAATGGGGTTTGCAATACATCCTTCAAGGCATCAAACCACGAACCTTCGAAGAGCTAGCCACCCGCGCCCATGACATGGAGTTAAGCATCGCCCATCATGGGAAAAAGGAACTGATCGCTGACTACAAGAACGACAAAGTTCTTGAGACAAAGGTGGAGAAGGCTGCGTGGAAATCCACCAAGGAAGCAATAACGGTCAACACAGCTCCCGTCAAAATCTCCACACGAGGCAAGGCGATTCAAACCGAAGCTTTTCGTGATCAAGAGATGCGTAGACGCACTTTGAAG